CAAAGCCCCTTTGATTGCCCCAGCAGAGCACCCAGGCAAAGGCTGACTGTCCTCTTTGTACCTGCCAGCCTGGTCTAGCTGCCCTTCTGCTGACCACAAAAAGGCTGAATTATGCTGTTTTCCTGCCTGGGCACACCACTTAGTGCAATCACACTCATGCTCAGCTGTTCAGCTTCACAGACCTCATGTTTGTTACACTTTAGATGTAACTGGCCCATGAGTTGGAAAGTTGGTAGAGCAGGAAAAACAGAGAGACTTCTCCATAAAACCCCCTCTACACTATTCCCCAGTTGATTTTTTTTCTCTCTTTTCTTACAGAGCTCATTTTAGGCCTGGTGAATTATTCCCAAGGACAAGTTCAAGCTCCTGTTACACCATCTATTTCCTCACCGGGTACAGTTCAGGTGATCTTATTAATTTATGGTTGTTAGCCAAACTGCTTCCCATCAGCTCTGCCTCCCTCAGCTGTTTTTGGCTGACAAGAGCCAGGAGAGACTTCAGGGGCACAGAGTTTGGATCCTCACTGACTCTCTCTGACCTCTTCACTGGTCACAATGGGGAGTCAAAGTCCCAAGGTGGCTGCACAGGGCAGTTTCTGTGAAGCCTAACACCTTGGCATGCCTTAGGAGGCAGGGAGGGTGCTTCATTTTGGGAACAATGCCACTTTGAGTGCCACACTGACTAAACCAGTGCTTTAGTGGGGAAAAAAATAATACCTTTTTTGTCCCAACCCTGAAGTTTAAAGAGCTGCACCCTGCAGGTGTCTTTCCCCCTACTTAATCTCATTAAATCTCATCTCTTGCATTCTCACTCTTCCAGACTCATTTTGTCCATGCATGCTGGTTGCAGCTTTCACTCTTAGGAGCTTTCTTTTAAACAGATTGGTGTCTCATGGTCTTCTGCAGCTGAAGCTTTCTGCAAACCCAGTTCCTATGAAGCAGTTCCTGCAGAGTCCTTGAAAATGAGAATATTGAAAAACCTAAGCTCACTGGGATGACGGGGGAAACAGCTAACGAACATTTTTTCATCCCCAAATACCTTTCCCTAGGTGGGAGGAGTTTCAAATAAGCAACAGATCTTCTAAGAAATTTAGTTTAGTGCTATCCATGTTTGCTTCAATTACAATTGATAAATATTATATATTGTATTCTAATAATATAATTTGCTTTTTGTCTGCTGAGATGGCAGTATTCTACTTTAAGTAGTGAATTCAGACATGAAGCCCACATAGGACTAGAGATACGGCTCCTAAATGCTACTTTCTTCATTTAGGTTACACGGTAGGTTGCAAAGGTAAGGAAAAAAGATGTGTTTCAAGATATCAGATCTATTATGGAAAATGTGTTTGTTTGTTGGTTTTTTATCCGTAAAAACTCCCAGTTCATTTAAATCATTAGTAGCAAATACCTGATGGCATTCAATAGACAAAATTAAGAGTTTCCACAAGTTCTCGAACTCACCAAGGCCGTGCTAAACTGAACAAACATTTTCCCTGCTGTTTCTGAACAATCACTTCAATGCCAGCAACCTGAAAGTTACTATAAACTGAAATTTTATTACTGTCTGGTGTCCAGCTGTTGCTTTAGTCAACTAAGTCCAGAACTGTTGAGCAATTAAAAACAAAAGCACTGCAGGTAGTTTCAGCTATTTCTGGTAACTTGAGAACTATTCACATGAGGCTATCAGGCAATGGAGCCCCACGTCATCTCATTTTGCTTAAGATTGATAATTACAAGCTCTTAGTTTGTAATTCCCTGTATTGTTCCAATAAAAACTTCAGTCTGAGAATGGGAATCCCCAAACTCTCACTGGCATTACGATACTGATGACTAGAAACACTGATAAAAGGTCAACTAAAAAGATACTGAACACTTGTAAATGTACTTTAAAAGACCACCACCAAGTTACTGAAATGTTCTAAATAAAATATTTTCAGTTCATTCATTACATGTTTTTGCTGCTGGGCTAAACATAAACATTTGGAAATCCAAGTGCTCTGGTAGGTTTAAAGATGAAAAAATATTTCTGTCTTGAATTTGGCAGTCCAGATGGAGGAGTTCAAGGGTACAATGAGACTACTTCTACTGAGACATGATTTAAAAATAAGGTAGTAACAGTATAATGAGAATTTTATCTTCCTTTGAACAAGGACAGTACAAACAATTGAGTTAGCGGACCACATCAAGTAAGTGGGGCTATTTGCAAGAACGAAACAAAGTCTAAAGATTACAGATCAACATGAACCTTTCCAATTTAAACACTCCTAAAAGCACAGAACTATTTTACAGGGCTCCACTTCGTCCTGTTAAGTTTCCTTCGTTATTTTTATCAAAGCACCATTTTGAGACTTACAATTAGGATGTTAAAAAAAGCTGTGACAGTAATGAAGGACGCAGAGCTCCAGTTTAAAAGCAGGAACACGCAGCCAAGCACCGAGTCAAAGAAGATGCCTCTTCAGAAAACAAGACAGTCTGCCTTCTTCCTGTAACCAGCTCCTGATCTTCAGGGTAATGAGAATAAAGCGCACATATTCGTCTTAATACTGGTTGCACCTGAAAAACACTGCAAACGGCTTTCTGAAAAATTAAGTCAACAGGCATTAGCTGTATAACATTTTTATTTTACTATATTGACATTTTATGCACAAATATTTTATCCGAGTAAAAATAGAAAATAATTGTCTCATGTAAAATTACCCAAAAAATGCAAAACACAAAAGAAATACATAATTATTAGCAGAGTATAAGTGTCTTTATTTAAAGAGTAAAAAGTATGCAAAAAACCTTCCATTTTACAAAAAATTGGGAATATTCTTTCCATGTTTTCCTCCTGGCAGCAACAGAACAACCTTTGACAATATATTCTACATCTTTTCTTTTAGTGAAGACGTCAAGTTAGTCACAGATTTCTCCCTCAACTACAGAGAATGTGGCAGCGATTTTACACTGTTTGAAGGATCCCTTCTTTACTAATTAGAACACAGTGGAAAAGCAGATGACCCCACAACAAAGAACCCAGAGGACTATCATAGCTACTGAAAAGCTGCAAAATAATCATGGGATGTATTTACAGAGAAAGTGTGGTATCAGGAGTTTCCCCTAGAGGACTTACCACGTAAGAACGTTCAGGGGGATACAGCATTGACACTACATTTCCATTTTCCTCTTACTTTATCCTCCTGCAGCCCAGTTTGATCTAGAAAGACAGTCTAAGCTTCTTTTTATACTGTATTTTAACTAAAAAGGCCTCTCATGAGCTCTGCTGAATAAAACCAGTGACTTGTACCAGACTTCTGTTGAGTAATGGAGCAGTGTTATACACAGCTGCTGCCGCCGAATGATGGGCTTCACCTTATTCTTAGTAAGCAAGCCTGCATCTATCTGTGTAAGTCACCTCAAACAGTCGCCAACTGGTGCAACCAGACTACTGCAATGGTAACGAATGGATTGATGGCTGGCCTCTCCTGACATGTGCATTTATATTTTGCTCAGGGCTTAGGATTTATTTTAAAAAAGAAAATAAAACCAGCATGCTCAGTAGATGGAGTGCTTTAAGAGCTCAAGAATGAAAACAATATTAAGTTACCGAAAAACTGGCAAAAATAAAAGTTATAATTGTGCTGCTGATGATGGAAAAAGTAGGCCAGAACTACGTGCAAGATTCCTAGTTAAGCAAAAACTACCTGCAGAAGAACATCCACCTAGAAACAAAACGCTTTGTCCTCACTGCATCTTCAAAATAAACACGAGCCTTCTGTGTTCTCTGCCCTCTGCCTGCAAGTGCAACCACTCCTTTCCAGACCAAAAGCAAGAGTCCACTGCTCTCGCTACTAAGAGCGCGTCTCATGTTTAGGACCTCGCTGTACAAGCACTTTTGATTTAAGGTTTAAGTCCAGCTTGATCCCCCACAGAATTAAAGGTTTTCCCTTACACACTTGCACTTTAATTGTTAAATGTTACCAGAGGGGGTTCAACTTACAAAAAGTGGGAAACGTGCATGGTGACATAATATTTATACTGTTTAACAACAGGAAGGGGCAAAAGCAAACCCAAAGTTGCACCATTTGCAGTCATCAAAAGAAATAGTCTAAGAGGCATCAGTACAGAAGCTCAAAAGTTGCAGCCTACTTTTTACCGCAAGTATAAGTTTGCATGAAGTACTCTCGGTAGCTCAGTATTCAAGATATATTCCAACCACTTCTGCTCATCATTCAGATTTCAAATTGCACCCAGCTCTGTAGCATGCATTTGGCTTATGAAGCTTCAAAACATCACCTGAAGTTCAGAAAAAAATAAATTTTAAATAAAAAATATCTTTGTCTCTTTATATATGTCAGACTGTACAATAATTTGGAAAGCAAACTTCAGTTCTCTGTAAAAACTGCTTTCCACTTGCATTTTGTTTCTAAACAGGGACTACTGACTGTGATTAACTTAAGTCTTCAGTTACTAAGGTTGACTACCATGCAGGTACAAGCACCTTGCAGAACAGAGCATTAAAAATCCCCACCAAAACAAATTACTCTTTGGGTGAGGGCTATTTTTTCAAGTTTTCAAATCATGTGATGGGGAGTGGTTGCAGGGGAAGAAATTTGTCTCAACTGTTTGCTAAACAGCTAGAATTAACAATGTCTTTCAAAAGAGGTAAGTACTTGCCCTCATATATGCATATTATCTACATATTACAATGAAACACTCATAATTGGCTTTTCACCTAAGCCAGATCTAAACCTGGATCTCCTTCTTCAGCACTGATCTTCAGTTTGGTCTAGTCTTAGCTTCCTTTGCTTACAAACACAGAAGCTATTTTAAGAACCTCATGCTTTGTAACATTTAATGTCTCTTTCAGCTCTGCTTGATTAAATGAGAATAATGAACTTGTTTAACTTTGAAAGCTCCAATGCCATTTGGTAGTTCAGCAGAGAACAAAAGACTGGAAAGGACTGAGCTGAGACAACCGATCAGCCTGCTTGCTGTAGGTACTTCGGTTTTGTTAAAGAGCACTGCAAAAACTACTTTGTACAGCTGTAGACACAAGGGCACTGAGCAGTTCCACCTTTCTCACCAACTCCAGACCACAGACTGTAGAGGCCCTGACTCAAAAGTTGCAGAAGTTGTGGTGATCCCTTAACTTACATCGAAATTTATGCTTTTAAAAGATCCAAATTTATGCAAGTCCCAGTTCTTTATAGAAAACCATGCTCTATATTGTAACGTCAAGGAAAAAAAAAGTTTCCAATTCTGATAAAGAGAAGAGCAGCAACTGCTCTGGTTATACAGGAAAGGCCTCGGGCTCCCACTTTCAGGTCCCAGTGCTTAATTATCTTTCTCCGTTTGCAGGGATGCTGTAGCCAGTGCCACTGCTGTCACTGGCTGTGCGATGCCGTGGAGCTGCATCTTGGCTAATTTCTTCTGCTCACACTCTGTGACCAACCGGTTCAACTCCGCCGCGCTGTATCCAATGAGAGTTTTCAAGTCGCAGACAAATTTGTACACAAACCTCTTGCCTTGCACTTTGCAGATCATGTCTCCATCGTAGTAATACCTGTAAAAAGAATGAAAAATTAAAAAAAGAAAACGAATAAACGTAAATTTTCAGCATTTGTAACTTCTGTATGTATCAGTTATTTACTTAAGGTCACTTGGAGGCCAACATATGAATCTTTTTCTCATCAAGATTCCTACGTAATTTCACACACCTAGATACTGTTCAGGCATTTTCTTATATGAGAAAAAGGAAGAGGGTTGAAAACTGTCCCTGCACCTTGATATGTTAAGGAGAAACAAAACACAGGAATTATTTCATAGGCAGTTGAAAGCACCAGTTCAGAAATAAAGGTCTCAGAGCAGTTTGAAAACAGCTTGGGGGAGGAATAAGTTTCATATAGTGCTTTGCCTTAACAAGAAAATGTTGTCTCCCCTCTCATAATTGTCCTTTGCTTTCTTTACTCCTGTCCCTGCTTTTCTGAAGAAAAAAAATAATATTGGAAACAGTTTGAAAGTTAACACTGACATTTCTATGATACCAAAGCAGCCATTCTCTCTCTACCATTTTCAAAGCTGGAAGTAAAAGTATAAAAGCATGTTTGGTTTTTTATAGTTCATGTGCTGGCAAAAATACATCCTTTGCCTTTATTTACAACTAAAAGTGACTTCTCTAACTATCAGTAGTTTTTACATTGTGTCACAGAAGAATTATCAGCCTGGGCAGAAATGCAGTAAAGATAACAAAGACTCTATGACACACTGTACTCCAGAGACATTATAAAACTTTAGGTGCTGCCAATAAAACAGAAGTTAGAATTTGACAGTTTTGTTGCTGATCTTGTCTCACTGCAGGCATTAATAGAATGCATGTCACATTTCTCACTAAGAAAACCTAAGTGGATGGAGCGTAACTTGCACCCCAAAACCAAACCAAGCAAAGAACCCCTCAAGATTTCCTCAAAGCCATCATGCAAAAGTAGTACAAATAAGCCCTGATTCCTTGACTATCTAAGACTCAAACCCGAGTGAGATGCTTGTAAAGCAAAGATGATTCTCATTCACCAGCAAAAGTCAATTAAAAGACTACCTTCCATCTCGCAGCTCTAGTAGAAAAGAGGTAAGTTACCAAGAGCCCAGCCAAATTTCTTCAGACACCTCAAATTCTCAAAAAAAAAAAGTGCCTTTCGATTTCTTACTTTTGAGGATCAGGATCTAAGCAACAGGAGCAAAGCAAAGATAGGATGAGAAACAGACTACGGAGAAAAACTGCTGGCAAGCCATGGTTACCAATACCATGCCAGACAGCACAGGGGTCTGTTACGGAGTACAAGAACTGACAAAACAGCTTGCTATTGCTCTGTGGGTAAAGAACATTTGGTGCATTTGCCAAAGCTCTCCTTCACCTTTCTCCTGAATGAGACAGTTATACAAAAGCTTTCTCTTCAGGCCTCCTCCTCAGTCCACACCCCCCCAAAGCTAACACCTGCACCTCCCTAAACTCCACTGTTTTCTTCTCCACATCAGTACGCTTTGTCCTTTACTGCCACTCAGCACTTCTCCACACCAGTCCTATCCTCCAAAGGATCTTCCTGGCACCAGCTGAAGGACCTGCTGTTGCATGGTGTCCCTCCCATCCAGTCTCCTAGTGAGGTTTAGTTATAACGGGTCAGATGAACCCTGTAAGTGAGAGGGTGGGATGATAATTTATGTTCAGCTCTGAAGTACAGTCTTGCAGTACTGGGTAGAACTGGGGAAGGGTAAGCCGTATCCTGGTATATCCCTCACGTGTGAAATACAGTATAGCTTAGAGAAATAAAGTATAGTTTAGAGTGTGGGAACACTGGGCAGGCATTCATATTGAATGTGACACGGTACTGGACATAGAAGAAATCGGGGAACTGGGAGCTGTGCTCACCTGGGTCAATATAAAGCACCTGCAGAAAGCCAGAGTTTGTAAAATGAGGCCATGGCATATGTCAAGTGCCACTGATTACTTTGTTTGTTTGCTTTAAGTTATTTAACTCTGTACAAGCATTTATGTTTACTGTACAATCCTTTACAATAAGGCCTGTCTGAAAATAACGTTGTAGAAGAATACTTCACAAAACTGAATTAATTTCTTTAAACTATTTAGTCTGCATTACTGATACGATCACAAAAGAAAAGGACCACGAGAAATTAGCCCACATTTATGCAAAGGCCCAAAACCATGCAAAATTCCCACATTTCATGCTAGAAACACTCAAGTTAGAAATGACGCAATGTGAAGAGAGGATGTTTTCAGCATTATGTTGAATGCTTTTCTGATTACAGTATTTGCTTATTCAAAAATACAGAAAGCTAAGAACAACAACAACAGAATAATACCCATGCAAGTTTACAAAGCCTTAGCTACTGGAATGTTCTGAGTCACAAGAAAACTTTGTTTCAGAATAATACAGGAGATGAATTCTTTTTCTTCAAGTTTCACCGTCCCTACTGGAAAACTAAACTGATGTTGATTTTAGAAAATATACCCAAAAAAGCTGCTTTTCCGTTCCCCTTCCTTACAGAAGGGCAGAAAAGTGAGCACATATCTCAATAATACCAACAATTTTCTGTATTAATCAACAACTGACATAGTAATTTCAGTAAATTAGTAAACAAAGCATAGTACCATTTAATAAAACCTTAGCTTGGCAACAGTGTTTATCATGGGAGTAGCAAGAGGCACTAAATGTCCCTTTAGACATTCAAGTATTAGAAAACATGTCAATATTGATGCAGCTGCCAAAGCATCAACATTTTGAGGAATGTGATTTCTGTAATTCTGTGACCGAAATATAAATGCAAAACTTCTCTAATAGTGATTTATGCAAATTGCTGTGTAGACATCTGTTTAATATCCCAGCGATAAGAACCTTATTCTAAAGTTCTTCAGCTGCCTTCGAATTCTTCTGCAGAGTTTATTGACGAAACCCAAAAAACGTTAGCATCATTTACATAATTTTTATGTTCCAGGAAGTTTTCACATATACCTTCAGTACGCAAACACACAGATTCACAAAAACAGGTTGGAAATACGTGAATGGTACTGCAACAATACAGGCTGAGGAGCCGCTCTACTGAAAAGGCCCTGCTTTGGGCAGGAGGTTGAATCAGAGATCTCCTGAGGCTCCTCAAGAAAGCCACAATATGGCAACTTTACCATAACTTCTCAGAGAGGTATTTTCAAATACAAGATTTGGTTTGGTGTTGGGTTTTTGTTGCTGTTTTTGTTGTTGGGTTTTTTGATGTGTTGTGGTATTTTGTTTCCCCAGAAACCCCTAAACAATGCTAATTAAGTTTACTTCCTTTAAAATAATAATATAGTCGAAAGCAGAAATGATGAAAAGTAAATCTTAGACATCAGACTTTAGCCAATATGCAGATTCACTAATATAAAAAAAAGTTCCTAAGACTACTTAAATAATTTACAGGATTAGGCAATAAATGACTTTCTTGGAAACTAATAAAGAAAAATAGATTTAACCATATCAGAATAACAAAACAGAAGTTCAATTTCAATGATTTCAGAAAACTTGGATCAATCTTCATATGATTCCAGAGGCCAAAATAATCAGGGAAGTGTAAAATGCAGATACTATCATTCTTCCCTCTCCTCAAGCACTGGCAGTGATTCAATAATACAAGTCCCTTTTACCAGTGTCAAACTGCAAAATCACAATGCAATGAAGACAGCTGAAAACACTTCCATTTCTTCAGATGATAGAAGTTTACTACGTTGGAATCACGATGACTGCTGAAATTTATCTGTCTACTGTATTTTTCAATTTAACATCCCTACCATAAGTATAACGGAACGGGTTAATGAACATTTGAATTCAGAAAAAGTTTTGTTACATACAGAAAACTACTAAGGGTTCTGTAATTACAGGAAGAGTATCCACTTTGTAACATAACGAGCAAGAGGAACATGAACAAGTAAACCATAAAATATAAAAATAAGTGAATAATTTAGGGTATTCACACATTTCTGTATCCTTCACCAATCATCAGTATTGTCTAGCACACTACTGAAAACATAAATGTTGATGATACATCAAAAAATATATTTCTGAAAGTGAGCTACCCAAATTAACTATCATATCAGTGTTCAATAATCTTGAAAAAAGAAAATATATTTTCAAGAAGTTATCATACTAGCTTCATGGAAAAAAGAAAGAAAAAGAAAAACCTTCAGCACATACCTGGCTTCTAAGTAGTATCTGATGGGAAGGAGCATCTTCAGAGGATCCGTTTATCCCTTTACTCAAAAAGCTGCAAGTCTTGTGGTACGATACTTAAAGTAGCCAAGCTGAAGCAAATCATTTCATACCTGATCAGTTCCAAAAGTTTCTTACCTTAAAGCCCGACTAAGTTTCTCGTAGTTCATTGTGGGCTTGTTTTTGCGCTGTCCCCATTTTTGTGCAACCAGTTCAGGCTGATTCAATTTAAACTCTCCTTCATCACCAACCCACGAAATACAGTCCCGAGCATCTTTGTCAGTGAGAAGTTCCAGTAAGAACTGCCACAACTGGATCTGGCCATTGTTTCCTGTTGACATAGGAATAACATGATCCTTTTCAATCAGTCCTTTTATGCTTCCCTCACAGCTCAACCAACATATTAAAGCAGACCAACCCAGAATGGAAGGAAAACATGCACTTCTTCTAATTATTCTTTTGTAAACATTTTCCTGCAAAATCATCAGTATTCATCTATTAAAGAAACTGATGAATACAGGAAAAACAAAACAAAACCCAGTATTTCTCATAAATCTGTCTCTAGAACTTCAGAAAAATAATTACAGAACACTACACATAGGCATTGAGACACATATCCATCCCTAAAATAAAGCAGATTTAGCAAGAGCTTCTCATTCCTCTTCAGGCATATACTTGCACACATATATATGTAATAGAAGTTGTTTTATTAAAAAAAATAGTTTAGTCTCCAATTTTGAACATTAAGTACTACAAATACAAAGAAATCCCCCCAAACTTCAGCTTATATTATCATCTTTCATATAATCTTCATAAATCATTAAGACTTATTTTTAACTCAAGTATCTGCAGTTGAACTCTTAAGTTCTCAATGAGATACAGACAGCAGACCTAATGTCTAAAGGAAGAAACAGAATATATGTTCCACTGATGTCGGCCGATAAAATCTTGGCCCAAGAATCCTGAATGAGATCATAATAGACTTTTATGAAGAGTTTAAAAAAAATTAAAATTCAAGGGGAAGGGAAGGAAAGGAGTGAACAGAAAAATTCGTAACAGCGGAGAGAACCAAAGCAAAAATAACAGCAAGAAAAAATAAAATAAACTAAGATAAGTAGCTATGCCATGATTCTACAACATAGAGTTTCTCCCCTTTCTGCGAATGGAAAAGTGGAAAGAAGTTAAAAGCTTGAATAAAATGCTACACAGTGGCTTGAGAAGACAGACTGTTAAATAATAGAAAGAGAAACAATTTTATGCATATTACTTACCGCAGGACTCAAAAGCTGTGGCACCACATTAACACAGTGCCTGCGTAAACTAACCAACCTGCCAGGTATGCATGTGCTTGTGATATATTTTGTAGCTACAGTCCCCTTCAAACCATATGGACTTCTACAGACCTCACATTTAGAGTGACAAAGATGTATCCTAAAAAACTGTAATTCCAATTAATGAGTGTTCACTGCACTTGCATTTAAAAATAATGGAGACAGTACCTGTCCTGTTCCCAGGGGAACTTCTGTCTTCCCCAGAGATCCTTGGAGCTCTCTGTACTTTAGCTGCCTTTGCATTGCTGTTTATTACTTTAATGGTGGTTGGGGTAGCGGGTTGTACAGATGCTGGAATAATCTGCACAGCTGTAAAGCAGAGAACATTGCAGAACATTAATTATAAATTGCTGGCACAGAAATAGGCATATATTATTTATTACCTGTATTACCATAACATCTAGAAGCTAGTTTATTCCTTTGCTAAAAAGACACACTGTATAAGTCACAGTGCTAAGCATAATCTAAAGACCTTTTGCCTCTTACAGTGAAAATTCTGGTTTTAGACTTGTAGTAGAGATGTCACATTACAGATAAAACATCAGCTTTAGTTTACTCCCACGTGTATTACGCGTTTCAATTAAAAAAAAGAAACAACCTCTCATGCCTTTGTTTTCATCTTTATGCTGTTCCCATATGATCTACCTTCATGCATGTTTCTCTATGGTCACTGTACAACTCTCCATACCTGCTATTCAAACAGCAATTAAATACCCTTCTATTACAATTGCATAAAAGGATGGAAATGACCCACTTTAGTTGGCTTTAACTAGACAAACCCAAGATGTAATACACAGTCTACCTATTTAACATATAAGCTGCTTACTAGCCTTATGAAAAGTGATTCATTTTAATGATTGATGAAACTGCTCCAGCTGGAAGAATGAGTTCCAAATAAGTGGAAAGGTACTTTAATGTATTTTTTTCTAGTATTGGTTTCTAAGCAAGTCCTTTCTTCCACACTCCCTTTCAGTTTTTGGAAACTTTCTTCCGAAATTATAACATATCATATTGATTCATTCATACAACTTAAAAAAACAGAACAACTCAAGACCTCAAATACATATCCTAGACAGCTTATTTCAAGAGAGTGGAAAACCTACCATCCAAAATGAACTTTCATAGTTCAGGTCATACACCACCTTTTCAGCCAATAACAGATTATCAAGAAACTGAACATTTTGCTTTGCAGTTTAAAATATGCCCTCCTCCCCTCACCAAGGAAAACTACTCTCTCCAGTGATTCTCTAAATGCTGTACTACTATAGCACTGAACCAAAGTACAGTGCTAAACCTGAAAACAGTTAAATGTGTGAACTAAATACTGGCAGAAGTACTTACGCTGATCAATAGTAACAGTTGCTATTTCTCCAGAATGCTCTTGGCTAGCCAACACATCTGCAAATTAGAAAAAACCAAACAAACAGTAAGTTTTTATTTAGGTGACTTGAAATTCGTGGGTTAAAGATCAAAAACTTTCATATTTCATAGACGAAAAAAGTCAAAATCTGGTAGCAGTTTGCAAGAGATGTGGACAGCTCAGTGTGTTATGATTAGAGACACTGAACATCCGTCATTCAAATTTTAGAAATGAGGATGTACATGGTGAATTTCAAGGTATCTTATGCATTCTCTCTCACTTAAAACCTTAGCTATACCATGTAAATGAGGATGGAAAGTTTTTGGTCTGCCAAGTTACATCCCAGCACTGCAAATCTGAAATGCTGATATACATTATTGTATCATACATACACAACGCATCACTTATTGGTTGCATTGTGTACAATCTAAGGATTTCATTGCCTGTGCTTAATAATCTTAGCTTCTCTATGATAGAGATGCATGCTAAATAACTCACAATCGGCATTTAATTATAAAACTGTCAAATTAAGGAGATGCACAAACAAAAAAATCTTTATTAAAACAAAGGAGGAATCATCAGTCACTACTTCCTATTAGTTATGAAGCCTGATGAAAGATCGGTATTCTCACTAATACCTCCTGTTACCTTGTATTGATGCCCTCATTTTTACTGCCAGTATTAAACAGAGGAAAAACAACTGCTCGCAATTGGTTTCATTTCTAAAGAAAAAAAAAGAAAAGAGAGAAGTGGGGAGGGGGAATAAGTAAAATCAGTTACAGAAAAATCTCCCATACACTTTCGAAGAAGCTCCAAGTGGCTCCAGAGGATTTCTCCCCGCGGGACACGCTGGAAGAAGTCTTCTTGACTGAGGCTGCAGAGCTCCCGCCCGGGGATGCTGAGTGCGTTGAGGTCAATGTCAGTCATGCTGAACTCCTTCATTACCCACACCACCCAGTGGAGCACCTGGTCTGTTGACCACTGCACTGGGTCTGGGATGAGAGAGAGAAAACTGAATCATTCCACTGTACACTGCAAGATTCCTCCTCACTGAGGCTACAGAGCTAGTCCTTACTGTAGCTGAAAACAGGAACAAAACCCAAGTGGCTACTGGTCCACAGCATTCAAACAAATGAGTTGATTTTTTTTGTATGACCTTTTCTGAAGCCCTTTCAAAAAACTTTATTTGGGGGTTCTTGTTATCTATTTATTGATTTCTTTTTTAAAAGAAATTTTAAGTCCAATGATGGTATGTTTTCTATTATATAACTTTCATAAAATAAAATACATAACGTCAAAAAGTGTAGTTACCATGACCAAATCTGACTGGATGGAAAGTTGACTCCTCTTAAAATGCAGATGGAGAGGTGTTCCTTGGTGGGGAAATGGAAAAAAGAGGGATGTTCTTTGGCAAAAGCCTTTATATTAGAACTACACCTAGCACTTCTCAAACACAGAAAATAACTTTCTTTTTCCATAGGCCTTTAGTTTCAAAAAAGTCCCTCACACCAGAATGGTCTTCATGAATGTGTTCATAAGCATGTGATTATGATTAAATATTACATTCTAAACTCAATCACATTGTCCTAGTTTCTAAATGATTTAAAATCACTATTGTACTGGAGTTAATTTTCTTTAGTGCAGCTGATATGGTTCTTCCTGTGTTCTAGGTTGGCGACCAGAACAGCATTGGTAGCACACTGTTGTTTTAGCTACTGCTGAGTGGGGCTTACACAGAGGCAAGGTGTGACTGGTTAAAGACCTAGGGGTGAATGTGACCCCCTTACAACAGAAGGTGTCTCAGAGAAGATGGCAAGGGTGAAGTGCCCATGCAGCTCAGAGAATAATGCAAAGCAGCTGACTTTGTCTCAACAGAAAGGAGGTGGAGGGTGGCCTGTTTTAGATAAACAGCTGAGTGGATCAACTTGTGTGTAAATGTCTCCTTGAGTCAGCCAGAGCAGCATGGGGGGAATGAACACATGGCTCAGGTCAACAGAGTATACAGACTAGACAAGTATTGCAAGAATTTTAAGGAGAGCAATGTGCTTGGGCTGGTTTCAACTCACATATTCCTTTCCAGCAACTGGGGACACATGACACTGTGATGGTGAATGTATTTATATAGAAACTGGTAATGGGAATCACATTGGTATTGTGACTGAACAGTGTATTGAAATTGCTGTATTTTTCTAAGTGTAACTTACCTTTGTATTGTGTTTTCAGTACAATTTGTATCACTTTAAATCAGAAATCCCAGGTAACATCAAGCATCTTCAAGTAAATTTGATATTAAACAATAGACCCTTCATGCATGGAGTATCTACAAGAATTTGGTCAGAGAGTATTAGACTCTGACACAAGGCCTTCTCTGCTTCTCACCGAGCCACAGCAGTGAGTAGCACAAGAAACTGGGAAGGGACACAGCTAGGACAGCTTATTAAGTTGTCCCAATCTTGACCCATGATTTTTTTTTTTCTTACTTGCTTTGGCCCTTTTGATTCTTTCCCCCATGTCTTTGGAGGGAAAGTGAGCAACTGGCGTCTGGAGGCTCACCTGCCAGCTGGGGTCAACCCACCACATGGGTGGGCTAATAGTGCACTACATATATATATATATATATAGATAGATAGATAGATAGATAGATAAAAACACAAAACAGTAGGTGTAATACACCACACCTCAAAAGACCACATTAAATAAACCTTTAAACCAAGATTTGATACAGTAGGACCCAATGTGTGCCTATATTTGAATCAAACAATCTACAGCATCAGGCTTTGGAATGCTTGTTTGACATTTCAACAGAACACAACATGCACATCATTTAAACGCCAGTGTCAAACACACAAGTATAGACAACTCGCACAGCAAAGGAACATTTACACATGGTAATAATCAACTCGAGAGATGTGCAAAACATGACTTGACTCGAGACATTTTAACATCAGAACTGTTGTTTCAAACAGCGTTAGTGTGAACAAGCTGGAAAGAGGATGGGTAAACCTAAGCAACATGTTCAAAACTTTGAACACGATACATTTTCAAAATGTATGCAAAATATTAAAACATGTCAATGAGTATGAATTAAAAACGTAAACTTAAGCAGCAATATTTACTTTCACTGTATCAAGGGCAAAAAACAGGAGCAGAACAATTATGTATTTTTAAATTATGATACTCCAAACAGATATCACCTTGACAAGTTTTTATTTTAAGAATTAAGGAAAGCAAAGCTTTCAAAAATCTATAAATCCAATCTAGGAGCCACAAACTCCATTTTGCTTAGTAAAGGATGTTAACATTGCATCATTTTCTGCTGATGGTACCTAAAACCATGCAATGTAATCCTCAAGGAAAAGCCACACCAAAAGGGTTTTGGTCTTCAAAACGTTATCAGCAGTGAATTTTCATCAAAAAGCAGCAAATTTGTTCTCATTGACAGAATGAAATCTGCAAACCAACCCAAATCATTCCTTTCTCTAACCAGTTCTACAGTTTCCAAGCTTTCTGCTGCTCCCTCTTGTGGCTTTATTTCTCCTACCAATTAGGATTTACCTTCTTCCTAGGGACCTTTGAAATGGTACCAAATTTTTTGATTCTATTAGCAGAAATACCTTTAACAGCTAAAACCTTGTAATCGTTAGCAAAACCCACCAAAACTAACACAAAGGGAAAACCACAACATTTTAAAGACCTGCTAAAATTTAATTTTCCATTTGGAGCAAAAGAGAGAAACCTGTAAGCTATTGAACCACTACCTATCTTGATGATTATTTACTGACAGGACTTGACTTTTAATATCAATATATCCTGTATTTTGAAAAGATTCAAGGAATAATTTCAGATTAGTAATTTCAAAGAACTTCACAGAACCAAACCTCAAAAATTCTCCTGAAGGAAACTGGTCTCTCTGTTGGGTTTTTTTGGTTGGTGTTTTTGTTTTGTGTTTGGTGTTGTTTGGGTTTTTGGGGGTTGTTTTGTTGTTGTTTTTTTTTTTAAATAAGATGTATATTTATATATATTGGTGGGAGAGAGAAAAGGCTGGTTTTGAGGACTACTTAAGAACATTCTTTATTCTCAGAAACTTCCAACTGTATCAAAATGTAGAAGTCAGCAGTGCCTCATTTCAACTCAAGTCCCTGCAACACCAACTCAGGTAACATTTTAAATGTTATTCTTTCTAGGGAGATCGTTTAGCACATTTTTTTGATACCAAGAGAACACTATTATTCTTAATACTGAAATCTCTGCCATAATGAATCAGTATGCATTTCCTAGAAAATCTGCACTCCCATGACACAAAAGGCATTAAAGTTTTAAAGCCACAGTTGTGGGTTAAAGGGTTTTCTTAAAGCAGTAACATTAAAGTCTGTTAACATTATTCGACATAACAACAACCTGTTTTTAAGTAATTTTATTCTTATATTAATGGGAGAGCATGCTGAAAAGCAAAAGTCTGCTCCTGATAATGCCTCACTTTTTAATTTTATAAACGTTCTGTGTCAAATTCCTGATTATCAAGAGAGATAGCATGATGAAAAGCATTTTGGAAGTACTTGTCAATAAGAACAACAGTATCAAAAAACATGTTCAAAATATTGGCAAGCTACATATCCAGGAAAGATTCCTGGGATTCTTAAACACTTCCAAATACCCCACTTGCCAAATATATTCCAGGTTTGCAGATCTGCTTAGACACTACAGTTTCATGTGCTGAATATGTCTTAGCAGCACATTTCTGCAAGTCACAACAAGCAACTCTGCTGGATAATCTCCTGGACGTGATGTAGGTCTAAAATCCACAGTTCCAGTTCAATCCTAAGCAGGCATTCAGAGATGCTTTTTCTAAGCTAACATTAAGTTAGCAGTCTGCTAAGTAACAACATTAATTCAAAATAGAATTGAATATAGATAATTCAAAATAGATTACCATCTACCAGAATACTTATATTCAGTTCTGAATCATCTTTTTCCAGTATGTTTAAGTCAAGTATGGCTTTCCATGCAAAGTCTGATTTGACACCATATTCAGCATCCTATAGCCTACGAACAATTTGTTTCAGTATCTTTAGAGGTAAGCCCCACCAAGTACTGAGTCCAGTTCAAATTCAGACACGCATGAAAAAGAGCTTTAGCACTAACATTCACAATTTGAAGGAGAGAAGGAAGAAAACTGTTTTCTAAAAACTGCAATGACAAGAAGGTTATGGAGCAAAAAGCACTATTTTAATAAAATTATTACAAGCATTGATTCTACTTCTTTTTAGCCTTCTCTTATGCAGATATTTGCACTGTACTTACCCATACCATAAGCAGCCTTCTCCGAGGTACTGGAGCACTTTATTTATAAAACCAAAATTAATTACCATTTATAAAAAACCACCAATCCTCCAAATGAACCAAAGAACCCAGCCACTACCTGAACACACACGCACACACACACACACAGAGAGTCATGTATTATTACCGTAGGGTATCCCAAGGCGCTCCTGCTCCTTTCGGTAGCCTTCCAATGCTGCAGCCCATCGTGTCACTTGCTCAGAGGTTTCATCTGAAATTGTTGTAATATGTTTTGTTCCATCCAAGGTTATCACTTGAGCTTCCTCAACAAGGTGAGCTTCAGCCTCTGCATGAGCATCTGGATCAATCACTACCTCCACAGTCTCCACAGGCTTCACAATTTCAAGGATGTTTAACTTGGGCTCTATCCCTATGTAGAAAAAAGAACAAACACAAAACTTAGAGACAGCAATCAAAATATGACCCAAACTTTTTTAAAGCTTTCTGATTAATAGGTATTAGCATACTTAGGAAAGAAGCATGACACAAAAGCATCACCAAATTTCTGCAAGTATCCTAAATTAGAATGACATATTCTATACAGTATACATTTTCATATGCAGTATATACTTTAGTAAGCTGAATACAAAGCTGTCCCACTTTCCTCTCCCCATATTACGGCTTCCTGTTCCATTTAGGTGATCCATTTCACATATCTTGAACAGAATGTTCAGTGTGTGGGCATAAAAAACAAGTATTTTGGTCTCCAAGAAATATAACAAACCAAAGGGCAAAAAAAACCAAATCCCCCAAAAATCAGGAACAAGCATCCACCTCTTTTCCCCCAGCTAGGAGGCATTTCTTTCAGTCTTTACATTAATATTTCCCTGATATCTCTGGAGTCTACACACAGGAGTTAACATTTTCTTTCAGTATCCTGCAAGAGGCAGCGTGCTCAAGAGCAAGTTAAAAGAAAACTAGAAAATTCTTCACGTTTCAAGCTTCTTCAGCTATTCATGTTTTGGTTTTGTTTGTCATTTAAGATATTAGACCATTGAGTTGGAAGAGATGTCTGTATCTATTCTGCAGCAACAATGAACACATTTACTAATGCTACTAATACTTTGTACCACCACCTTCTCTGTCATCTTCTGAGAAGGTATTTTGTCCAATTGGTGCCTCAAACTTCTGACATGGTATAGAAAATTTTTATTGTCATTACAATGTGCTAAACACAAAAAAAAATCTTTCAAGTTTGTGACATATAATTTCCATTATATACTTCTTTAAGAGATTGTTATCAAACATATTTGCACATAAAAAAAATAAATCTCTACAATTCCATTTTATTATGACTTGGAAAACCTTGACTAGAGCTAGGCATTCACAGAACATCACACGGCCAGAAGAACTTCACTGTCTCGTGTCTCTCCCTTCTAGTCTCTATTAAAGCTCAATGTGAGATGGTAAGTTCTGTAGGTGACAGTCTTAAAAGCTAAAACCACAATCCATTCACAGTTTATAAAGGAAAACAAATGGAGTACTTACCTGTAGTACAAGTAAGAACAATCAAGTCTTTTTCAGACAAGTATTCTTCTAAACTTTAAAAGGAATTCAGCTTGAGAAAAATATTAGAAAGGGAACACTACAAATGCTGTAAGTACAACATGCAGCAATATGAAATTACGGAAGTGAAAAATATATCTAGACAACCAGTAAGTGATTGATTAGATGAAAAAGCAAACATGAAGAAAAAGCAAACAAGTACGTTACTTATGAGAGCAAGTGTTTTATCTAGGCCATCTAAGATCAACGTGTACAGCACAGGCTTGTTTTAAAGTCAGATAGAAACGGGTAAGGGAAAACACTAAGGGTTAAGATTTTATTTTTGATCTTCAAAAAAAAGTAAAGAAAAAAGCTTCTAGAGAGGAACAGTTCACTATTGCTCAACAAAATAATTCACAGTCTGTCAAATAACTATGTCAAAAGAACTGTAAATCTACTGCAAATCTACTGCTTTACCCATAATACAAACATGGAGATCAAAGTGATGAGTCTCTGTAGAGGAACCAGCTTATAAGTAAAAATGTTGCGAAGTAACAGTCTGTCACCTAACCTACTGCAATGTGAGATCAGCATTAATTTGCTGGGTTTGTCTGCATCTCTCCTCACATTTCTCCCTTTACCGATTGCATAAGAAAAGAGATGCCCAGTCTTCCCTGGACATAAATTGTGGAACACAATGTCACAACGTCACACAACCCAGAGGTATAAACTAGTACAAAAGGTACAAAAATTCAAGGACATTAGCTATTGAGACATGCCCAGATGTTGTCAGTACAAGTCCCTTCACTGCTAATTGTCTGAAGCTAGAGAATATACTAGGGTTAACCCTGACCTACAGGCAACATGCTTTTTCTTTTTTTCTCCTCCATTAAATGCCTAGTATTAACCACAGCCAGAGACAGGACATTACTCAAACTGCACCTTTAATCTAAATCAGTATGTTTCATTACACTTATGAATCATTCCTTTACATAGCAAGGATAAAAGCCTAGCTATTGCAAAAATTGTTTTAAAACTACAGTCAAATGAGGAGTTACACACTTAACACACAACTCAGGCTTCTGCTACCTAAATCCAAAGAATCTTTTGTGTTTAAGCACCACTTAGTCCCAAAATCTGTGTATCTATAGTACAGCTATATACACATGCTCAGAAATTCTCAAAGCAGCTAGACACTAACTTCTTACATCAGCAAGCATTTAAAAAGTAGGTGGAACAGCACATGTTTGGTAAAACGTTAATCTTGCAGGTGTGCTTTAGGGGTGTACAACAGACCGAGCTCAACACAAACAGCAGCTGTATACACTTAGATACACCAACACAGCCTTGACTCATTTAAGTTTGTGTATGTGGTACATGAAGCTTTTTTCAAATTCTTTGACATACAATGCAACAGTTACTCAGAACTCCACAGACTTGCAAGAGTACAGAGCAATACTGAACATGGCTGCACTCAAAATTCTTCTCACAATGGCAGGAAAATCATATACATCTCCATTCTTCAAGCCAGAAGAAAGGAATTAAGGCAAGGTAGTGACAGAACGGTATTTCTACTAAAAAGAATAAACAGGACTAATATTTTATCTGCTCTAATTTAAAACATCTTTGTATGAAATGCTATAAAAGAACTATGATGGACTTTATTTCAGCTGGCATTTATCCCTTTGAATTTACAGATGGCTAGTCAAAATTTGATAGAACATAAAGTGACATAACAGTTTTTCTCTTAAGAAATAAGAAAGTCCAATCCATCGCAAGGATCAGCATGGCTGATAGGTGCTAGTTGAATTCTATGTATTATACAAGTTGTGGAAAATGAGAATCTTTCGATATTTCATCCACGCAAGAAAAATATGTTGATAGCATAAGCAGCTGCTTTTTCCCTGTGTCAAAGGGACACTGTAGACAGAGCAACAAGTCAGTTTCCCTGTCTGTGATTCAAATATCTTCCTTTTATTATTGATATCCATGCTGTTTGTTTTCTGATACTCTGTCCTTTCATATTTTACTTGCTCTTGACAGGTTTCTTATAATGCTGAAGTGTCAAGTATCATGGCCTGAAAAACAACACTGACAATCGTTCCAAAGCTATGCAAAAGTACTTAATACTCAAGTGTTTCTTTTAGGCAAAAAGAAAGAAGAGGGGGCAGGGAGAAGCTCCTTGTGCTATAATGTAAAACTGAGGCGAAGTTCACAAGAAACTGAAGAAAGAAGGAAAGTGGAAGATAATAGAGAAGACATCCAGCACCAGCATCCTTTTGAAAATGGGAGTCTGAGCACTGCATACTACAAGTTACTGGGTATGAATTAAGAGCAGTTATTCTAGTTTCATGAAGGATATTTCTACTCTATTTTTTAAACCAGAAAGTTAGTTCAAACCTCATTAAATATGAGGAACAGCAGATTCAACCTAGCACTAGTCACCTGACACTCAGCATTAAACGCAAATAGTCAGTCTTACTTAATACTGTTAATACAAACCAGAAAGGTTTTCTTCTGTCTAATCTATACTGAAGCCACAAGAAAACAAAACATGCTCTCCAAATTTTGCTAATCTGCTTTGCTGACATCACTCAAAACAGATAATCAAAGATGCCCTATTCCAGTAGGGAATCTATTGTCACTGATTGAAAACATGGCAACTAACATCTGTAGCTCTTCCCAGAGCTGAACATGAATGCTGCCTTCAGTCAGTCATGGCAGTCTTTCCACTCCAGACATATGGAGAGGGCAAAGGAGAACAGGACAAGGAGCAAAACAATGGAGCTACTAATTCCTGAGGATTCGACAAAGGGAAATCCCATAATACCTGATAATACAAATAAAAACTACGTACCAACAAATCCCTACCCACCTGCTTAATGCTCCTCTGTCTCAACAGTTTACTCTTGACTTCTCATCCAAAAAAAAAAAAGTCAACAGATGATTGTCTGTTAAGTGATCCCTGCCTTCCATACCGATTTTCAGTTAGCTACATATACTCTCATGATCTAATTGGGGGATTGGACTAGATGATCTTTTGAGGTCCCTTCCAATCCCTAACGTTCCGTGATTCTGTGTAATTATTGTTCATGAAGCACACAAGCTTACTCACTTCACAAACTGCCACCTACCTAAAGTTTTTTGCCTGCTTAGATACGTCAGTATGAGTAACTACTTAATGAAAGCCTCATATTGTAACTGTCACTGTTTGATGCAGGTTTGTTGTTTGTTTGAGTTTTTGTGCTGGGTTTTCTGTTGTTTGTTTGTTTTTTAAACATGGAAATTGATATCAAGTTACCATAAAAAAAACACTTCAAATAGCATCAGTCCAAGGCATATATTTTAATTACTACTACTTATAACCACAGCACACAATGCAAGAAACATTCTGAAGCTATGTGACTATTCAGTGATTTTCCCAGTTTTACAGCTAGAAATAGTAGGGGATGAGGTTTGCTCACAAGCACTCCTACAATATTAATTTGTCTGTACAACAGACAAGCATAACTGCTTACCTTGCCTAGATATTACTTGCACACTGAGTTGCACTGTTCCATCTGTTTTCACTCCTTGATCAAAGAGGCTTCGATCTGGGTCCAGCTTGATAAATGTAAAAAAAAAATAAAAAAATCAGGAATATACATTAGTCTCACAGTTATAAGAAACTTATTCTCCTTTAAACTTTAGAAACATTTAGTGTCTACAGCAGATTTTCTGAAGAAGCGTGCAAATATTTTTGCTTTACTAAGATTTAAAACAAGATTAGACTCATGGAAGTTCAGGCAGCAACACACCATGTGGGCCACCTTAAAAGAAGATAGTATTGTCATTTCCCTCATTCTTCTTTCACTTGCAAGATAGTTCATAATTTTTTGCTTTCTTACCCTTAGTCCAGGAATCTCAAAAGCATTTTGATTTTATTCACACTGAAGTAGGGTGTACATATTAAATGGTCTAATAATAATGAATCTGACATAAAATTAAACTCTTAATTGTAAATAATATACCAAATGAAATATTAATTCCATGAAGAATAGAAGTATGTAAAATGCTTCTCCATCAAGAGGTTAGATCCTTCACAGCCTTTCAATTTACCTGGATATCTTGCAGGCAAATTTCATGTGCATCCAAGGAACACTGCAGTCTGGGTTCCAGCAACTTCTTAAGATTTCCTATTGGTTCATTGATGTCAATAGCTTGACTCACAAATTCTGCTGTGGTGTAGGTTTGCTCAACAATGCTTAAATACCAAATAAATACAACAAATCATTACTTACATGTTAATACAGTAGGTATAGGAAAGCTTAAAAAAAGTTAGAGGTAAAACACAGAAAAAGTAATAGTAACTTTGAAATATTAATGCCATGCAAGAAAACTCTTAGCATGAACAGAGAGTGAATTACTAAATTTGGTCGCATTGATTTTACAGTTGTGAAACTCTTGTTTTACCCTGTTGCCGTTAAAAAGCTAGGTTGAATACCAAGATTATTTTCAGATCACCATTTTCAAGAGATTATGTAATGATTATTATATTACACATTATTAACTTGCATGTAGAGTAAACTAATTCTATTCGCCTTGCCAGGACTGTATTTAAAAGATATTCAAGTTAAAAACAAACATGGAAACTTAACAGGGAAAAAAGGAGGAAAAAACATCCACTCAGAAAGCAATTGTCCACATCTTTTCACCAGTCAGCACAAAGATAAGAATACACAGAAGAGACAACCAGAAGGAGCTACAGCAACGTGGAGCCTTGAAGGAAACATCAGTCATGCATCACATTTGTCCTGCACTAAAATTTTGACAGTATTGGTGTAGGTATTCAGAAACAGCAATGTTACGGGGCTCAAGTCTTAACAGTGACCTTAGACAGTTGTCTCTCTACATTTACACAGAAGGAAATCAGAAACCAGTTTGTAAGTAGTAAAAATGTACAAGTTCAGAATAAGAAGAAGCCAGTAAGTGGTTTTGAATAAGTTCTCCAAAACAGGTTCTTGAAAAGCAGGTCATCTACCAGCCTCAGCTATTTCTATCAAACACATTAACTGTCTCTCTGTGCTTTCAAAAACAGTTGTAAAAATTTGAAGGGAAACATTAGGAAGAAAAAAAAACCTGAGGTAATTAAGTCAAAGAATATCAGACTTCAGTATCTATGGTTTCAATGGCCCTAACAACAATACAGTCAATAGATACAGATAATTTCTGCTCTGCTAAAATAAAATGACTGTACAATAAATAAAGCAATGAATTGGAGAAACTCTAAGGTTCATCTCAATTACAGAAGAATACACTGAAGCTGAAAGGTTTGCAGCATGTCCACATAGACATATTCCTATACAGACATGAAAGTAGGGGGAGAGAACTACTAAGAACATAGCAAGAGAAACAAACAATTTTGGATGTAAGCAATTAAGATCGAAGAACATGACAGCACTATATTGGTTTTCTATAGTGGCTACACTTCCACTTCAAGAAAGCCACCATCAGATAAGAAACAGAAAAACCTAAGATAGCAGAAGCAAAACTAAGAACTTTGTATCCAGCAAGAAAGTTGAAATACTGTGGAAATAATCAACAGCCAGATTACGGAGACCATACTGAGTCAGTTACTTCTGCCAGTTTAAAGTTACTTCTTCACCTAGCTAGAAAACACTTCTACTTATTTCATAACCACAGCCATCTCTGAAGCATTACACAATATCCAATAATAACTCTGAATAACCAAACTTTGTGTGTGCAGCCACAAATCTGAAACTAATTAAAGAAAACAAACACATGAATTGCAGTCTGAGGAACCCAAAAAATAAAGAGTACATACCTTTCTTCAGTGCACTCCTGTTTCTCAGTTCCATCAATTTCTATTTCTATCAGCTCCTCTGCCTCTCTCTTAGTCATGGCTAAAATGTCTTAAGAACAGAGCTATGGACAGAAAAGAATTTTTTTTTTGTAAGTCACAGATCAACAAAACTAGATGATGGGCTATGTCCTATCAATAATTTTTTAGACCAAATACCAAGATAGCTTTCTAAAGACAAGAATTCATCTAAAAAAATGAAGCGAAAAGCTAATACAGATTTCACAATATAGACTACAGTATCTGTTCCTCAAACAAATATTCTAGGACTAGATATGGATATTAGCACAGAGCCCAAAGCCTGATTTTCTTGAAGGCATCCAAATTTACTTAATGCTTTTGTTATGGGCCAGCTACAGCTCTTAGTAGGTGGTTGCTACTTCTGAAATTTTTTAAAGCTTTGCCATCTAGATTCAGCTACATACTAGTTTCTTAGCAAGGCTAGAAGATGTTGCTTAAATCTATAAAATTTAATTAATTTATAAAATTTATTTAAATTTATATTACATTTTATGTAAAATGCTGCTGCGGGAAGCTTGACAGAAGATCCATGATAAGTAAATAAACTCAACAGTAAAGTGTTCATCGACCGTCCCATCTTTCCACCCATCCCTCTCACAGGCAATCACTTGATATTGTAGAGAGAACACAGTCACAAAGTTCAAGTCACGTACACCAGGTAGTTGCATGCCTGGAAGCATGAAACCAAGCACTGGGCGAGGTGGCAACCATCACTAGATCCATATCTGGTGTTATCTGGATGCCTGGAGGAGTGTGAGATGAGGCGGAAGCCTCATAGTCCCAGTCCCCCATTTCTTTCCACCCCAAGCAAAGGAGCCATTACCTCTACCCAATGCTGGTGTGAATTAACGGACTTTGTGACATTAACATAACTGATAAGGTTGTCTATAGTCATCCCCACCCGCATGTATGCCCGGTGATGTACTGTAGAAATTTGACTAATAATTAAAGACAAACACCCCAGGTGGTCTAATCCCCTCAGGCATCCTCCTGTCATGTACATCAGGGGATAAAAACCCTAGGATTCATGCTAGAAAGGAGGAGTTACTTCTCCAGCCATGGAGTGATGAGAACCTTCCCCCTTGGTCAGAATGCTGGCCAAGGTAACTTACATGTGAGCCCTTATTTGGGGGCACTGGATGAACTCGGAACTACACCGATGAACTGGACGGATTAACGAATTTGCTCCCTCTCCATCCCCACCACTCGGCTCACCTTGTGGGTAAGATTATTTACCTCAGGTAACGCTGAGTGATATATTTTCTCCTCAGGTTTATATACCCTGGGTGTATTTTATATTTTCTCCTCAGGTTTATAAACCCTGAGTGTATTGGTTTTGCTCCACTGTATTTCTGTTCAAATGGGTTTATTCATTTGCCAGGCGGTCAGGCTCACTGTGGGCAAGTTGTTGTTGTTGTTGTTGGTGGTGTTTCATAGTGCGTTGTTGTTGGTATTATATCCGTTATAAAATCTTTAGTGTACCTGTAGCTTTTAGTTTATCACCGGCAATCCAGAAGAACCTGTAAATGTTGCTGTAAATAAACAATTATTATTTGTTTCCTGATTTGTGTCTGTCACATATTTGGTGCCGGTCTCACAAGACCAGATTTTATTCTCCCTGTTTTCGCAAGAGATATGTGCATAACGAAAGCATCTTGTTAAGTCCCAAACTAATACAGTATGTTAGCAATTAAAGAGAAAGCTATTCTGTGATGATATTCCCATTGACACTGCAGATTTTCACGCCCTGTAGAATACTAGAGTCTGTTGGAGTGTAAGGGGGGAAAGAAAGGATTACAGTATTTGGTCTACAAAGACAGTTTGTACAATATTATCATGTTTCACTAACCATCCCATTGCATGAAATACATGCAATAAAGAACTGGGCCAAATTAAAACAAGAATTAACAATAAATAACACCACCAACTCATAGGAAAAGGAGTAGGAAGTGGGAGTACAGAGGAAAAGAAAAATCACAGTAGAAAAAGCAAAACATGCTACTATTTAAATATCCACAATAAAAGAAATTACCGAGGTTTTCATCCTGGAATCATTCTTTCCCAGGAACTACTCTATCCTAAACTCAACTGTTCATTAGAGAATTTATCAAAGACAAGTTAATAAGGGAACTTATTGAACTTTAAAACTTCTCAAGAGGAATAGTAACCAACTAAATTGTACAGTTGTTGTAGAAAAGATTTAGAGAAATTCAAACCACTCATTATCTCCTTCAAAAACCATTACATAAAATTAGTTTTGAAGAAATCAAGTGCTGTAGGTGCTATCAACTTGTAAGAGGCTACCAGGGCTAGACAGGAAGTAAGCAGCACCTTGTTAATTATTAAAATATTTTAAAAATATTAAAATGTTAAAATATTTTTTGAAATCAAGGTCTGAGCCAAGTCCTTTACTGAAAAGTCCCACAGAAGCTAACTGGTACCATAAAAAAGGAGGGAACTCTTTCCTATATTAGCAATCAGATTAAAAAGTCAAATGAGGAAGAATATGCTACCCTTTTTTTGTTGTTGTTTTTGTGAGGAAGGCAGTCTACCAGTAAGGTCAAAAAAGGGGTTAGGCTAGGTTAGGCTTCCTTGATGTATACATAAGGTATTTATGGAGAAAACTGTGCAGACCTGCAGAAAGAGCTCACCATCTTGAATGACTTCTGGCAGAAAATATTCAGTATTAGTAAATGCAAAGCGACACACAGTAAGTAAATACTGTAACAGCAGAGTAACTATAGAATTAAGTAAGAATTATTATCAATAATTATATTTTGAAGTCCTTATGGATTAGACTGGCAGCTGGACTAATAACTGTTCACTCACTCTTCAAAGGTGGTTTGCAGTTGTACGTCACAGGCTCTAACTACACTTCTGGTTACCCCGGGGAGATAAGAGAAAGCAGCACAGACACAGTGGGCAGGTACAGAAAGAGGAAGAAATAAGGTTTCATTAAGCACAGATTCAAGAAAGGGAGATGACAGGTGGAAAGAGGAAGAATAACATGACGAAAACAAGTAGTCATGAACAGTTCAGAGAAACCCAATGGGGAAAATTATTCACTTTTTCCTATGCTAGATTAGAGACTTCTGATTATATAAACATTTCACACGAAGCCTAGCAAAACTTGTTACTACAGGATGATGCAGATACTGAAAGTGTAGTTTCAGAAGGGTCTAAACTTCCCGAGCCTTTCCTGAAAGCTACAGAGAAAAAAAATGAACTCAACCAACCTGGTTTGCTAGGAGGGTCAGTGTGGTAGGAATAGCAGCAGCATTTTTTCAGAGGAACATATAAAACTGTGCTTGATTCGTGAAAGCTACACACAACTGATTTCTGTTTATTTTTCCTTCAACCTAAAAAGCCCTAAGACTTACCTGTTATCCAAGAAGGAATCTGACCATAATGCCTGACACAGTCCTCTGCTAACGTATGAGAGGGCACCTGTAAACAGAGC